CTAGCCTTCGCATGCCACCTATGCCTCTGAGGTAAGAACCGACGACAACGCATGTACACACCCTTGGTTGACAAGGTGAGGTACTTGTACGACATCTTGTCGATACATATGAGACATCCGAACTTCCCCTTAAACTGGCCCGAGAGCGAAAAGTTTACCGGTAAGTCGTTGATCGTAACGAATATGATGGCATGCAGAGTAAAATGTTCCCTACGGTACTCGTCCCACATTCGTAATCCTTCCTCCCACAATTCTTGCATGTCTTCCATCAATGATTCCAGAAACACATCTATATTAATCCCAGGCTGTCTTGGACCTTGTATAAGGATAGACAAAAGAATATACTTTCGCTTCTAGCAAATCCATGTAGGCAAGTTGTACATGGTTAGCAGCACTAGCCAGGTGTTGTGTGTGCTGCTTAAGTCACCGAACGGGTTCATTCCGTCCGTGCTCAATGCAAACCTTACATTTCTCGGGTCCTTTGCAAATTCCGGGTGTAGTGCATTAAAGTTTTTCCACTGTCGAGCATTGGCGGGGTGTCGGATCTTACCGTCATTTTTCCTACCCTCCTGGTGCCATCTCATCAACTCGGCGTCGTCACGGTTGGAATATAGCTGCTTCAGGCGATCTTTCACTGGCAGGAACCACATCACCATCCTAGGAATCTTTTTATTCTCATCCACCGGTGCATCATCTTTGTCGACCACCTCTCCATCGGAGGCTCCATTGCCCGTCTTGTACCGACTCGTCCCACATGTTGGGCAAGAGTCTAAATCCGTGAATTCCTTGCGGTACAGTATGCAATGATTTTCACATGCATGGATCTTCTGAAGACCTAGAGACAATGGACATATCGATTTCTTCACTTGATATGTGTTCGTCGGTAGCAGGTTCGGCTTAGGAAGCATAACTCTCAAAAGGTCCATCAAATCATTGAAGCTAGTGTCCGACCATCCATGTCTGGCCTTCAATCTGAGAAGTTCAAGCATCGAGCGCAGCACCGAATAGTCCTTGTCGCATCCTTTCGCTTCGTCGTACAAAAGCTCCTACGCTGCTTTTTCCAACGCTTCCGAATTGTCCAACCCTCGTGTTCTACCAGTTAGGACCTCTGGTTCAACGTGCCGCAACATATCTTCCGGATCAAAATCAATACCTTCATTCTCTATACCAAAGCCACCGCATTCTGGGATGTTTCCCTGTGACATGTCTTCGATTATAAAATTTTCTGCATCATCAAAGCAGAAATCATCCGTCACTTCGTTACGACCGCCGACTTCCCCATGAAAAGTCCATATCTCGTAGCCCTTCTTAAATCCTCGCTCTACGATGTGCGACAATACTTCATTCGGATCTTGCAACAAAATTTCGTTCTTACACACTTTGCATGGGCAAAAAATGCTTCTCAAATTCTCCCTCACAGCATGTGTCTTTGCGACCTCAACAAATTTGGTTGCTTCCTTCAAGAACGTTGGATGAGCTCTTTTCGTGTTGTACATCCATGTCCGATCCATGACCTAGAATAAAGCTTGTCATTAATACATCCATGCCCGATTCAAACACGAATGTATTTAAATTGGAGGGAACTAATCACATAACAAATTAAAGTTTTACGGACTATTTAAACGGCCGCACAACAATTTTAAGCATTAATAAAATATTATCCATTTCTAAAAAAAATGAAAAAAATCGTACTTTCATCTGAATGAAAATAAATTTAATAGAGACAAACCCAACTTTTCAATTTAGGTACTAAATACTTTTATAAACATGTAATGGAATCATTATGTATTTGCTAAAAAAATAAGAAAAAAACAAAAAAGTGCCTACACTATTCCATTTATAAATGTGCAAGTTTCTTCGTATTGTACTGACAAAAATAAGAAAACTGACAAAAATGGAAGCAAATGAAGGAGGAGAGCAAGCTCTACACCTTTTATATGGAACCCAATCAAAAATTTGAGGTCGAAAACCTTCCCCCCTAATTTGTGGAGGTTTAGGAGAGAGAAATCGCCGGCATGCCATAGCAACAGTCGGGCTGGGGCTTATATAGCTCCCCCACCATCGCAGGCGGTCGGCTTACACGGGCCACACGAGATAATTGATTATCCCATGTGGTCCACTGCCCGACGCCGGGATCGCCTGGTTCCAGGCGGAGCCACTTACGGCCCGCCTGGAACCTAAAGGGGCCGGCGTCCAGGAAAAGCACATGTGTAGTAGTGAAAATCGACCAGCCGATTGATGTAATTGGGCAAAATTTATTACAGGATACTCAAAGTTTGTGGCATTTACTGCAAGACACCAAACGAACGTGTATTTTCTTGGAGACACTGTAAAAATATGGTAATTAGCTGCTGGACACAAGAGGCATTATTTTATTATTTCCGGTGAAAACAGAGAGAGAAAGGGCGTTGAAAGTATTAAAATGCCCTTGGACACTGTTCTTCTCCCTTCTCTTTTCCTTCTCTCTTTTATTTTCTTTTCTTCTTCAGCCCCCGTGCGTGTCGATGGCCACCAACCTCCTCCTCCGATGAACGTGCCACACGCGCATGCTGCGGTCGCCGTGGCCATGGCCATGTGGCCAGATTCGCGGCTCTGCTATGGGGGTACGTGGCGAGGAGGCCGAGGAGCTATTGGAGGACGAGGTGCACAGGGAGTAGAGGCTGAGATGACGCGGCGGCTCAAGGAGGCCGAGGAGGAGGAGGTGCTCGAGTGCACGGGACAAGTGGGGCGAGGAGGCCGGGGAGCCGTCAGAACGACGAGCCGATCAGTTCGGAGGACCTCCAATTTTCGGCCAGTCTCCACCTCGACGTCGTACTTAAATTGCTTAATAGCTGCTGCTGCTTCGTTCTTGCCGGTAATAAGACGTATCCACATGAAACGACTCATATCATCTGCCAACAACAGAAAGTACTTCTTGCCGCCCGGCGTTGCCGGCGTGATTGGCCCGCACAAGTCACCATGCACAAGATCAAGCGCCATTTGCGCTCTCTACTTAGCTTCCTCCAGGAACGACGAGCACCGTTGCTTGCCTGCGAGGCACCCATCACACAACTGATCATAGTGACCAAGTGGAGGGAGCCCGCGGACCATGTCACCTTGCGCCTGGTGGTTCAAGTGCCCGAAACGCCCATGCCATAGCCTTGCCTCCTTGCTCCTACTCGCCGCCAAACAAACGGGCCTTGCCATGTCCAATCTCAATATATAAAGATAGCTGGGAGACAGTTTTACCTTTGCAAGCAGGAGTCCGCCGGGTTACGCAGCGTGAAAACGCCACCCCAGACATGTGCATCGTAACCGCGTGCATCAAGGCGCCCGACACTGATAATATTCTTGCGCAGTTTGGGATGTAATACACCGCCTCCAACGAGCGGTGGTCGCCGTTCTTACACTTGAACACCACGGCGCCACGTCCCTGGATTTCTACCACAGAGCCATCTCCGAACTTGACTGTCCCCACGACGCCGGCATCGAGGTCGGCGAACGCGGAGCACGCCCCAATCATGTGATTGGTGGCTCCTGTGTCTAGGAACCATTCTGCAGTGTCCTCCTCACCTACATCGTCGTGATCCAAGACCACTTTCTTCTTTGTCATATGCACCTCGTAGACGCCAGGTGTTTGGCCAAATGTCGCCTCGCCAGTGAGAGACAACCCCATAACATGAGCCATGAGCAGAGTTGGCTCCCCCTCCCCCTGAGCCAAATTTGCTTCCCCTCGGCGTTGGCGTCGTGGCTTGCGACATTGCTTGGCATAATGACCATATTCATTACAATTGAAACATTTCATCTTGGATGTCACGACTGCCGCTCCCACCGGTAGCCGCTTCCTTTCCCTTCGGTGATCCAGTAGTTTTGCCTAGGCGATTTTGCGAGCCAGCACCGCCATGGGCCTTGTTGGCGGCTGCGCCTTCTTGCTCCTGCTTCGCGTGCACCTCCCACTGCTCCGAGGTATAGTTTGCCACTGGCACTAGCCAATCATCGTCACTGTACGAATCAATCGTGGACAACTGCCCGACGAGCTCCTCCAAGGCCATGGTCTTGATATCGAGGAGTTGCTTGAGTGAAATTGCCACCGGCTTGTTCTTCTTAGGGACAACACGCAACATGTTCGTCCTCCATGACTCCGCCAATGTCGCAAATGTTCGCAACAACGGCTGTCAGCCACATCGCAAACTCCTCCGGCTTCTCTCCCTCCTTGAACCGCATCGATTCAAATTGCCGGCGAAACCCTTGCTCCTTGGCCTCATGCACGCGGTCGACACCGACCCGCATGGTCTTGATGGGGTCCCACGCCGCCTTCGCCGTGTCATGCTTCGCCAGCCCGCGCAACATCTCCCGCGGAATGGCCTGGAGTATGGCAGAGAGGGCCACACGATCCTCGCGGTACTTCACGTAGCCGGGGTCGATCTCCCAGCTGGGGTAGTTCGTCCTCGTCGCATTGGCAGCCTCGCAGCTGTGCCACCATCTCTGGACAGCGGCACCAGCGGCATCGTTGCGCCATTTGCACTGCCGCTCCCCTGCTCGCTGCTACTACCGTCACTTCCACCACGCCTCGGCGGCGGAATGTAGCGCGCATCCGACAACATCAAAAACGGAACCGGAACCTCGCTCTGATACCAATTGTCAGCAAATTTCCCTCACTCTGCACTCGATCTATGGCTATCCTACTATCTCTGAATATTTCCAGACGTGAACAATGGACTGAAGAACAGAGCACGAAGAAAACAGAGCAACAAGAACGACTGGTTTTGCGTTGCGTAATGCCGCTGCAGCTTTTCGGTTTTTCTCCTTCTATTTATTCACCTCCATCTTAAGAGTTTGCTACATGCAAAACTTGACCGATTAAACAGCTAGATCTGAGAATTCGTGCCATCCCACGATCCGTTCCCAGCTCGGCCACAACGACTAAAAAAAGGCTAAACTTAAGAGGAAACAACTAACGAACTGTAATGCAGCTAAACTTATTTTCAGTCAGCTTATTACATGCATGAGGAAACAACTAACGAACTGAAATGCAGCTAAACTTAAGAAAAATACAAATGCCCAAGATTATTCTATCAATCACTGGGTCGAAATAGTTTTACATTACCGTACTAATCTTCTTCCATGTAGGCCTAACCTAACCAGACAAATCTTCAGTCGATTGATCCATTCCCATCCCCAATTGGATCGTACATGTCTCTACCTGCCTTGTACCTTTACCTTTAGTTATCTTTCATGGCAGGTCCCAGCTAGCCTGGCATCTGACACAGATACAAGCAAAGAATTTGATGATTGATGCTGCGTGCAGCATATGACCGATTTGGGGGCTTTGCAGAAAAGCAATTCAAAGGAAGCACAAGGCAGGAATATATGCCAGGGAATGGAACGCCGCACGTCATTTCATTGAAGCCTCTGCATTAGAGAAGCACCTAGTATATGCATGTCAGTTGTCTGCTCTCCAGACATTATCGCTCATCTTCCTCCTTATGCATATGCAACCATGCATGGTTTCCTGAAGTCAAGATCAAGGTGATTAGTCTATACCTCTACCCATTTACGCATCATTATATATAGTTCAAGCTTGTTTAAATGTTCAACGAGGGTTCACGAATACATGCTGACACTCCAGTTTTAATTACAGCTTGTATTTACTTTGTTTGAGAATGATTAGTTAAGCCAAATCATGAATAGCCATCATATATGTACCTCATCATCGATGTAATTAAGGAGCTAGTAACAGTTTGGACTTTGGACCCATCAAGTGTATCTGTTTATATCTGTGTAGGAAATATTGGTTGGCTGGAAGGAAGTAGGGAGCTTCAAAGAGATAGTTTTGCGAGCAGATGGTGAGATATGGAGATCCAGAAAGCATTGATGCAGATGGAGCTGCTAGTCCAGCTTGTAGTTTAACAAGTGCTAGCTAAACATACTGCAAAGCAACAACACATTGTATTCACCATGGAAACAGAGGTAAATCACTCTTCTGACTTCGATTGTCTCGAAGGAATTTAGTGATGACAGACTACGTAACAGCAGAGAGTTTTTGCCGTATTCCAATTACCTCCCAGACTATTAAACACTTATTGTTGATTCATTATAAGGCAGTTTACGAATATAAAATAACAAGAACTTGGGAGTTAACAAGTAATTGTTTTTAGGCATGACCTGCTGGATCTCCTATATATCTAGATCTGCTGTTTGTTATTCGCCACTCTGATGCATGCCTTACCTGACCAATAGTCCTCCCTTATTTTGTGACACATGCATATATACTACTACCAATCTCTTTTTCCCGTATTAATTCTCACCTAAAATTCAAATGTTGCGAGTAGCATACTACATTTTCTTCATGTAATCAATACATAAAATATGAGGAGACTTTTAGATCCTCTTTCCAGAATACTTGTAATCTTTGTGAAAGTTGAAAAAACACTAAGATTGGTACTAATTCCAATCATAAATATTTGATATTTAAGACATGATTCAGTCTACTCCTAACTTTTAAAACATTGACCAATCACTACATGAGAAACGATGTTTAATACCGGTTAAAATCCCTTTTAGTACCGGTTGTAGCAACCTAAACCAGTAAATCGAGACCAAACATCTCAATCTTTAACCATTTTTCAGCCGGTAGTAAAGATGCACACTAATTAAAAAAAATATGTGGGTTGTGGGATTCAAACTCAAGATCTCTCACCTTAACTCTCACACGCATTGCCATCCCACCTACTACATACATTTGATATAGATTGAGATGTTTTTTTCAACTAACCCTAAGGGCATATTTAGTACCGATTCGTACGCTTTGGTGCTATCAACTGGTACAAAAATGCATGAGTAAATTGCATCAACGGTACACAAACTTATTAGGTGGGTGCAATCTAGTGTAAGAACTTGTAAAATACTCGTTTTTGGTGCATGAATTTGTCTGATGTGTGCGGAGGAAGGCGAAAAGGATACTACATAGCTAATCTTTTTGATTTAGAGGCTGATTAGGATACTATGTATACATATATATGAGAGGATTGCTATATTAGACATACACCTCTTCAATAAAAAAAAATATAATAGGATATAGTGATAGTAGAAAAAGATTAAAAAACTAAGCAATGATATAAATGTTATAAATGTATGAAATTCATCATTTCCATGATGAAGGATAATCGTTGCGATCTGTCATCTATTCGTAACATTAAATAATACATGAAATGTTATAATGATATAGATTTCGATTACTACAGATAACTTATAAATTTCACCTACATGTATATTGTTATATATATCCACATTGTCGACAACTATGAAGAACTTCTAAATTTCACCTATTTAAGAAATATACAACCTACATGTATATTGTTATATATATATCCACAATATCGACAAGTACGAAGCACTTATAAATTCACTTACTAAAGAAATATATGTGTAATCGTAAGCAACGACTATTTTATATAAGTATTCATAAGTAAAAATAAATGTACAATATAGTAATCATAAGTAATTTGTAAACAAAAATAAAGTTAATTTATTATATAACATGAATTAACATGTCATATCGAATTGTACGTCGACTCGCCATAGCGTGTTGCTTGGCGACCTTCGAATAATGTAATTAAACTTGAGAGTCGCCTGCATCCAATCCTGGCAAGAAAATCATAAAGTTAAGTAAATACAATATCTGCATTGAACAATTAAAACATCACACAAGTTGTAACTATAATTTTATATATTATCTATATTTTACTTTTTTTAGAATTTTTTAAAATTCTAAACATATTTTTTAGTGTGTTCTCCTTATTTTCTAACCATTTTAATGAATTTTAAATGGAATTATATACATTGTAAATAGATTCTATAAGATTGTAAACATTGTAAATAGATTTTTAAATGGAATTGATGTATTATTTATATTGTGCAATGTAATGTATTACTTTCAGTTTATATATTTTTTAAAGTTTGTAATGTATTTCTTAAAAATAAATTCAAAAATCGGGGACGGACTGACAGGTGGGCTAAAGATACCTTTAGTCCCGGTTATTACCACAAACTTGTTGAATTGAAAGTTAAGTTAGAAAATTAAATAGGAAATAACAATAGATATAATCTAGTATGTAGACAGTAAATAAAAATATCTTTTTCAGCGATGAGGCTTCATATCATCGCAGGTACATGGTACCAATGTTGGTGGGATCATGTGATCCACAGGTATCAAGCAGTAGCAGTGCCAAAGGCCACATCTCTTTGCCGCTGAGGAGCAGTCCTTCCACCAGGGTCGGCAATCGTCAGTTGTCGTTGCTCTTTGTGCTGTTGTTGCCGCCATCTCCCCCCCCTCCCCACCTTTGTCACTCATCCACATTGATCGTAGATTGTACCACCAGAGAGGAGTAAGAAGCCAGATCTAATCGGCATATTTTATGATTTTTCGATGTTTCAGTCAATATATGGTTGTTCCACATGTTGCATCAAAGTGTTGCACTTGGGATTTCAATGGTGTTTCATTTTTTTTGTCTTTGATTCTTGCGGCTCCGTGGCTGTTTCAACAGTTGAAGCTCGATGTTTCATGATTAAGAGCGATATGTTTTAACTGTGATGCAACAATGCATCTCCATTTTAATAGTTTGAAAAATTTTTACATACATGTGAGACATTTTTATACAGTAGGTGAAACAACGCCAGATATTTTGAAAAAAATCGGGCTCTCAATTTGTAATTGTGTCCGTTTATTTTGCTTAGTTGGATGAGCTCTACAAACCTTATTTATTTTCTATTTTTTTATTGAAGCGTGGGGTACATCGATCGAATAATTAGCACTTTTTGTTGAAATGCAACACAATAATGATCTAACTTATTTTCAAAATGAAAGAACAAACTTTAATCTAGACAAGCATAAAAATGCATCCCATTAACCCTGTAAATGAAAAACAAAGAAAACAAAATGTTACACTTCGTTACATGAGTTGCAAATCTTGCAGTGTGCAACCTTAGTTGACTGCATGTTCAGAAAAATAATCAGATGGCTGAAAAATAACAATATCAAAAGCTAAAGTTACCTGCGTGATCACATGTGTTTATATGAGTACATCTTTGCTTATTGAGCCCCAATCATAATTGCTATTTCTTTGCTTGTCTATTGAGTTAGTTAGTTTTTCACTTTTCTGTAGAGAGTTTGAGAGTGTTTGAGAGGAGGGGAAAGCGAAGATTGAGAAGATATGTAATATATACGAGGTGAGCATTAGCGTATGGTTATTGACTATTAATTATTTTGAACCTAAAAAAAGGTTTATACGATTTATAAAGCAACTTTTTTATAGAATTTTTTTTGCAAAACACACACTGCCTAGCAGTTTGGGAAGCGTGCACGCAAAAAAGATAGATTTTTTTCTCTCTATCCCTACTTGTAGAAGGTGCTCCATGTATTATTAGGTCCCCATCGTTTGGCATATTCTTATGCTTATCAGCCAAAATTTGAATTTTCAACGTTAAATTTGGAGCTGAATTTGAGGTTTTTTCATCGAAGTTTATTTTTCAGCTTTTGCTTTTAGATCACTAAGAACACATATATAAAAGTTTTATTCACAAATTATTTTTCATTTGCTAATATGTCGTTTGGCTTATTCCACCAATATGCCAAACGATGGCACCCTTAGACAATTACTATTGTGTTCATACTCAGTATATGGGGAGCCATCATCATTGCACACGACTAAATTTCATACTCTCTCTATCCCAAAATATAAGGCATAACCATCATAGACGCAAAGAAAAAAACAATTATTATCACCTCCTTAGTTGAATAATCTCAATAAATACATGCATGCACCCAACGGGATTAGAGATATTAAGAGTGGAGGACTTAAAATAAAAAATTTAGAGAGGAGATGTGGACCCCCGTTTTTATAATAGGAATCAATCGTGTAAACTGTACCATTTCCCTGGATCAAGTAGTCTGGTACACACGAGTTCATAGCTGAAATACCAAGTGCACATACATGAGAGTCTAGTGCGAATTATTACATCATAAGCCCGCAGGCATAGTCTTAGATCATAGGACCGAATGGTCCGGAATACATTCCAAAAGCAGAAATAGATAAGGCAGCGGAATTGAGGCAGCGGCATGCCATTGCCACAGGCAACGACCATAACTAAGACCTACTGAGCGCCATCATCTTCATCACCCTCCTGGTAGTAAGCGTAGAGATCCTCCGAAGCTTTATCTCTGACTTCTGATTAAGTTTGTATATTGCAAGAGTGAGTACCAACCGTAATCAGCAAGCCACCACAGCAGCAATGCACATGATAGAGGCTATTCAAGGAATGGCTATGGTTCTTTTGCGCAAAGCAAGTTTTGCAATTCTTTTCACAAGCCTAAGACCTAGCATAGTCTGATCAAATTTTAGTACCAGTGTTCACATTAAACAACGACGGTTCTGTCCACCATCCATTGTGATCCTAAGGATAGCTTCCCGCCATTGAGTCGTCATGGTTTTCTGAGGACGTCCACCTTCCCTCCTCTCAGGAAGTGGCTCCATCAACATAAAAATCATCATGCAATATCCCATCCCATACAAGTTAAGAATTTAGAGTCTAGCCAAGTGTAATACACGTCCCGGTGTTCAATAACCGCGAGCACGGCTATTCGAATAGATTTGGTTTACTCACACTGCAGTGGATGTACACTTTACCCGCACTTCGCGACTGCCCAACATATGAGCCTCGCCCCAACACATGAAACGCGTCACGGCAAAGCCTTTCGACAACCTCGCATTGGCAGTACCCGCTCCATAAACTTTACATCCTCATGCACTCCAGGCGTAATACGATTTCTAGCAGTGATAGGAGTTCTGGCGCACCCGGGAAGGGAAGACTCACACATGCATTAAGTTATAATTATGTTTAGATTCTCACATGGCAGTCCTACCGATGGCGACACCACTGTAGACACCTGCCTCGTGGTCCTACCAATGGCTGCCCCACCGTAGAGCCCTTGCCTCACACATCAAGAAACCACTATGCATGGATACTGCCTCCGCTCAGCTATCTACTCCGCTAGGTCTATAACCATACGAGAAGTGCGGTTGTACGGGGGTCGTTTCATGCTTAACTTCATGGTTCGGTCCTTAACTGACCAGGGACGGCACTAGCCTTTTCTGGACACTACCAAAATCCTCTAGCCGCCCCAGTCGAAAACATTTGTTTAGTTTTATTTTTTTCCTTTCACAAATCATGTCATCAATATCATGGCAATGTGGCGTTCATGTCTCCACATGCCGCATCTCAATTACCTTCCTAAAGGTAATTTCCCAAGCATAAAACATTTGATAAATATGAGTATGCATGAATCTAGAATAACATTTCTAAGCATTTGTCATAATTGACTAGGGACTCATACGTACTCATGGTTACAGGGATTTAAGGGTAAACAATAATCAAGGCATGGCATAATCATAAGTAGGATGTTCATCATTGCATGCAATTTTATTTGTAAACAAAATAATTTCGCAATTGGGATCAACATGTTCAAAGAATAGTGATTACTTGCCATGCTCGTAGTCCTGCAGGTCTTGTTCCTCGCTCGGATCCGCAACTACCTCGGGCTCTAAAATTACGTGCGAAGAAATGATTTGAATTCAATTAGACTTCAAATAAAATCCAAATAAACTCAAATAAAAGTCGAACGCGAATCGATCTTTCTATATCGACTACAAAGTTAGCGAAACTACGTTATTCCAATTTTAAGCTCATTCAACCTAAGTCATTTTGCGATTTAGAAGTATCTTCTTTAAAATTCATCAAACAATACAATTCTTAGTAATTAAATCCGATTATCTACCATGAATTAATTACTTACAGAGATTACCAAAATAATCTATAATTATATAAAATTTTGCAATTCTACAACTAAAAGAAATCTACAACTAACCCCAATTATTTTAATTTTCTAAACCTCCTTAATCTCTCCCTAATTTCTATCTACTTTTCCTTTTTCTTTTTCTCTCTCTTGTTTTCTTTCTTTTTCTCTCCCTCCCGGTTTCTTCTTCCCTCTCGGCCCTCTGCCTACCCGGGCGGCGACGGCGACCGAACAAGGGGAGGGGGCGGTGGCTTACCGACGACAGCGGCGGCGACGGCGGCGCAAGGCGGGGTGACGCATGGCGCAGCACACGGCGGGCGGCACCGAGGACGGCAGCGCGGTGGAGAGGAAGAGGGGAGAAAAGAGGGGAAAAGGGGGTGGGGTGGTGTGATATGAAGGGCGACCGGGGGGGAGGTTATAGGGCGCAGGGAGGGGCGGCCGGCTTAATGGCGACGTGACGGCGCGGCGCGTGGGGCTCGAGGCGACGGCGATGGGCGAGTGGCGCGCGGCGTGACAGGCGGGGCGATGCGACACGCACGACGGCACGAGGCTCGGTGTGATGGGACGGGCGGCGCGGCAGCGGCGCAGGGCGACGGCAACGAGATGGCCGCGTGGCGGGGTGCAGGCACGAGGGCGATGGGCGGCGATGCGACAGCGTGGGGCGCGAGGTGGCGGGCACGTGGCGCGAGACAGGACGGCGACGGGTGCACGGCGATGGTCGGTGACGGCGGCTCAGGGCACGAGGCCGGCTAAGGCGGCGCGGCAATGATGGCGACGGCGCACGGTGCGGCAGCGGCAACGGGACACGACGGTGAGGGTGGCGCGGGGCTAGGGGCGGCTAGGCGCGCACGGCAGAGGAGGGGGCAGGGCTAGGGAATCTCATCGAGCATCTACTGTGCAATGAACAGGGCTAGCTCCTATTTAACCTTAATTTAGCCTATTTCCTATATAAATTTCATTCTGTAAATCCTAATTTTTGCACAAATGGATTTTACTCAATATTTGTGTTATTTTAAACAAAGGATTCACCCTATATTAATATTACCTATATTTTATTTTTATATAATTTATTTGAATTTTAATTAGGGCTAATTCTTATTCCATCACACTTAAATTTAATTGTTACCAATATGGTCGCGATAATATTTTATTTATTTCTATCCTCACCTAATATTTATCTTAAATTATATTTCAATTATTTATTTTGCCAATTTATTTTTAGGGTTTATTCCTAATTAATTATTCTTTACTCACGATCAATGAACTCCGAAATCAAATGCAAATAAAATAGGCGAATAAAACTGGCATGATGCAATTTATTTACAAAGTTTTCGAAGGTCCGTATTTTTAGGGTTTTGATTTTGTTAGTCGAATTTTCAGAGTGTTACAGGAGAGAGGTGCTAGTTAATTATATACATATATGCACGCCTTATATTATGAAATATCTTAAAATAGTGGTTGGACCTTATATTTTGGGATGAAGAGACTAAAAGAGAACTGTATTCTACTAAGCGTCAAGATCAGCCGTCAAAAGAATCATTGTTACCTCTGCCCATCGAGCCATCGAGGGTGCAAATCTTTCATGTCGCCTCTCTCGCGCCATATTTATACATCTACATTGTTGTCTCCTAGGGAACTAAGAGCGTCGGCAGTCCATAGGCAGGGACCATGGCCACAAAGGCAGTGCTATTCCATCCACCCGGCTTGATAATATGAGGCACACTCAGCAAGAAGAATGGCTAATTATTTACTAATTTGGCCTTCATCATCAAATATGATACTAACACACTACGTACAGATTAAACTATTAGTCTGACATTCCACTTAATATTGAAGTTAATACTTGACCCACATTTGAGTACCTTACTTTAGGTACCTTCTCTTATAAATCGTTGTTAGATTGTAAGTAATTAACGGTTGTCATTCGTCCAAACAACATAGAAAGTCTCTCGTCAGCAGCATTCTCTTGGCAAATTCAAACGTCGCACACATTAATTTGAACATGCAATAATTGGATTTCTGTTCTGTACTTTTCTATATCATTATGGACATGCTTATTATTTTTTTACTTCAAATAATTCTATTGTTCTTTTTCGTTAAAAAACTCTATTTGTTCTTAATATTCACGTGGAGAATATAAAGTTTTATTTTTATATATTTGTTGGATGAATTAAATTGCAGATTTTATCATTGTGTCAAAATTAAAGGCAATGTAAACATATTACCCTGATCCATCCATCCCAACTCTCAAGATAATTATTTTTGTACTCTTGTGAAATAAAGGCTTGTATGTAATCCATCGCTGCAATTGATGTACAAATATGCCACCACTATCTGATTTATTAGCACTAATTATAACAGGTAATCAATATCAAGGCAGACAACATCAGTGGTGCTGCAGAGGAGATAATCCATTTTCTGATGGGTTCAAACAAAGGAGATGTGATACACTTTGATGGCTGGGGTGGATTGGGGGCATCCGCTGTTCTCAAAGCCATCGCCACACGGCTCAAATCATCAGCATCACTGTTAGGAGAGGCTGCTACTGTGATGAAAGCAGGCATGGACAAAATCATCCACGTTGATTGCTCACTGTGGCAAAACACCAGGGCTGTGCAGAAGGCCATTGCGATTGATCTGAATCTTCCTCAACATGTGATAGCCCTCTTTGACCAGTGGGATGAGAAGGACGATTTTGATGGGGTACACCAGGTTGCTAGAGGCCCAATACAACATGTCAAGGAGGAAATCTTGTACAACCTTCGTGACCGCGGATTCCTGGTGATCTTCCATAATGGGAGTGGCCGCTACATTGATCTTAAAGATTGTGGTATCCTTGTAGCAGGGCTTTTGGGCAAGAGGGTGTTGTGGACCTCCCGAGGCAGGTTTTCACTTCATAGCAATGACATAAGAGAGGTGCATGAAAGGAAGTTAGCTGAGAGTAATGTTTCTATATATGCTGATTTGTCAAGTGATTCCATACTTAATAGTGTCAGGCACCTGCTGCAAGTAGAGGCTGAGGAGGTAGCCTTCTACAGCGGTGTCCTTGAACCTGATATGAGCACCAAACTTGTCATGGAGTGCATCTTGTACAAGGCATTGAGAGGTGATGACTATGGCATCAACTGGGGCACCAACGCAGCCAATTATTGGGTATGTGATGGAATCATAAAAGATGCCACCAATGGTGATAGATCGGCATGGGAGATTGCTGAAGCTCTGCATAGTGCTATGCACTTGGAGGATTGGCATCAGGTCTGGGCAGTCAATATTCGTGATGCCTTTGGGTTGAGTAGTAAAGAGTGGAGGCACACAAACCGCTGGATTTCAACTACCCACCAGTATGTAGCTACAGTAAAAGTGCCACCTCAAGCAACATCCTTCTTTGTGACGGAAGCCGGATCACTGATTGACAAAAGTAGCTCCATGATATTACGAGGTGACATGTTTGGACATTCAAACAGGAGCAGATTGCGTGTACTACATCTCTCCCAGTGTACCTTCAGTTTTTCATCACCCCCCTTCCTTGGCTGCAGCAACCTTAGGTTCCTCCTACTTGACCATTGCAAGGACAAGGACATAGACGATCAAATGGCAGCTCATCTTGATGAAGAGGATGAGCATCAACAGAGCAAAATGGGCCATCACAATAGAACATGTTTTGAGGAGCTTTGGGTGTTGGACATAAGTTATACAGAGTGGTATTGGTTGCTATCAGAAGAGATGATGGATCAAATGGTTCACCTTCATGAGTTGAATGTGAAGGGGATTAAGAATGCGACCTGGATAAGCCATCTAGGTCCTGGCCATGTTGCTAGAAGCAACAGCTGCAGGCCGCGCAACCTTGGCAAGCTCCGAGTTACATGTTGCGAGATTACAAACCAAGCATCATCATTTGTAGAATTCCCTGACCTGTCAACCTCTAGTATCAAGACAATTGCCCTTGATGGCTGTGTTGAGCTGGAGAAACTTGCCCACAATTTCCTGCCTCTGTTGCTAGAGTCATTTATATTCGTCAGCAATGTCGCCGCCAAGATAAAGATCATCTCGTTCCAGGGATGCACGCAACTGAAGAGCCTATTGCTGAGAGGATTGTTAGAGAACCTCGTGGAGATGGACATGTCACATACAGCAATCAAAATGCTTGACCTTACTGCAATGCAAGCTCCACGTCTCAACAAGCTAATTCTGTTGGGTTGTGAGAAGCTACGAGCAATACTATGGCCTAGGGAATGGAAGAAGCTAGAATTGTATGTGCTACACATTGACACCACTGATGCAAGATGGGTGGGAGAAGACAAATCAAGCAAGAAAGAGGCAGCCAGTGGCGATACAAGTGTAGGTTCATCATCAAGAAAAGTGCTTCATGGCGACCAAGCAGTTGTTAACTTTGATTTCTACATTTCATTGAGGAATGCAAGATTCATTCGGTCACTTTTGCACGACAGACTTGGCAACCGTGTATCTGTTGAGATTTCATCTACTGCTAATATTTCTGCAACTTATGGTTTTAAAGAAGCTAGCCGAGAAATGCATACTGGCATTTGTGGCTGCAAACAACCAGTGCCAACTGTAAACCTGCAGAAGCCAATCGATAACTTATACATGGATGACATTAACACCCACTTCGAAGACATCTTGAAAGTTGATGATGGTGATAGAGATGCTAGTGATGGTGGAGATGCCCCATCTTTCATTTATATGTGGCCTTGTCCTTCTAATTGTTTGAAACCATATAGTGCCCACTGCTACATCAGCGTACAGGATGAGATGCAAACTAATTTACATCAGGGTACTACTACTATTATAAAAGAAGCTAGTGGCATTACTTTGCCAGATTTCGTGCATGACAGTGCATTGAGCCTGCACTTGCACGATTGCTTGTCTATCACCAGTATCCAAGGCCATGCATCTGCTGCAATAGATTTGAGTTGGAGGATCCTATGGTGGTGCCGAATTGAGAGGTGTCCTAACTTAGAAGGCACTATTTTTACTGCGCCTTGCACTCGAGACAATATTTTCCGGAGTCTCGAAACATTCTGGGCATCTCAACTCTTAAAGGTTTTCTACATCTGGGACTGGGACACGTCATTGTTTCAGCCTAGCTACAATTCATTCGAGAACCTGAAGTTCTTACATCTAGATCGGTGCCCCAGGTTGGTACATGTACTCCCCTTATGCTCATCAAATTCAAATGGATGCCGTAGCTTGAAAACACTTGAAATCGTGTGCTGCGGTGCACTCAAGGATGTCTTCCCACTGGATTCCGATTCAACTATAGTATTCCGAAGGCTAAAGCGCATCCACCTGCACGAGCTACCCAAGCTGCAGCGCATCTGCGGCCGCAAGATGTCCACGCCCCAGCTCGAGACCGTGAAGATCAGGGGCTGTTGGAGCCTCAAACGGCTGCCATCTGTTGGTCGCCACGATAGCACACCACCTATAGTGGACTGCGAGAAGGAATGGTGGGATGGCCTTGAGTGGGAAGGCATGGAAGCCAACCACCATCCTTCCCTCTACAAGCCCATCCACTCGCACTACTACAAGAAAGCCCTGCGGAGAACCTCCCTACTCAGGTGATTGACTCACTTATTTACCCTCTGTCCTTCCTATCTTGCTTATTACTTCATCTGCATGAGTTGATTTCATTGGTTGCACCATTAGCTTCTCTACATAGTTTAATTAATATTATTGTTTAGGAAACAAATATCAGAAATTCAGTGTTTTTCATTCGCTACAAATTAAATTTGTATCTGACTATAACGCCTTTCACTGGCACGCCGTCGGGTTCCTATCTACAGGTAGCCAGTAATCCCTACTATCTCAAATGATTACGGCTTGGCATGTCATGGGAGAAGAGATGCTTACTCTGCTTTCTTCAAGTCAATGATAAGTTATGTATGTCCTTGTACTCTTTGCATCATTGCATGACACTGTGACGTCTCGCTTGCAAGGAAGAGATGCCTTGTCTACAGACAGATCTGCTGCTTATTTTGCATCTGCATGATTTTGCCCGTCATGGATGCGATCTGCATCCGCATTGTCCGTGATTTCTGTTTGGTTTTTGTTGCCTTTGCTGGACTTCCATGGAGAAACGATGCATCATCTTTATGGACAGATGATGATCCAATTTGAGTTGCTCAATTTGGTGGCCTAGCTTCATAGCTTGGGTAGAATAAACAAGAGCACGAGATCAATCATCAGCTTCAGCATTAACAGAATAATCTAGTGGCTGAACTACTGAACTCTTCATCCTGTATTGCTGCTTGGTGTAATAATGTGTGGTGTGCTGCTACCCGTTTGTGTGTGATTTGTCACTATGTGTGGACTGTTGTACCTTTCTTACTTTTTACTACCATTCTATTTGGCTGGCATCATTTGATTTGTTTTGGGTAGATGCAGGATTTGTATGCCGATCAATATCAAATACTCCCTCCGTTTCATATTCATATCACAGGACTTTTTGATTTTTTTCTAAGCCAAATTTTTGTAGGTTTAATCAAGTTTACAGCATCAAATTAGTTTATTAAACTAACATATAATATATATTAACGGTATAGTTGTTTGGTGTTGAAAATGCTACTATGTTTTCTTTTATAAATTTGGTCCTCCCTCCGTTTTGACTTTGGTAAAAGTCAAACTGTTTCAAGTTTAAGTAAGTTTATAGATAAATATAATAATATTTACAATACTAAATTAGTTTCATCAAATTAATAATTGAATATATTTTCATAATAAATTTGTCTTGGCTTGAAAATATTATTATTTTTTCTACAAACTTGGATAAACTTGAAGCAGTTTGACTTTGATCAAAGTCAAAATGACTTATAACCTGAAACAGAGGGAGTAAAACTTATGAAGAAAAATATTAAAACATTTTATAATATCAAACAGAGGGGTACAATAGGTTATCAAATCTTGTTTTGCTTCTTACTTTTCTTTCTTATAATATCAAACAGAGGGGGCGGGGGGTTACAGTGGGTACAATCGACTTATCAATGTCGAAAATGAAATACGGTATTAGACTGTTTTCATCTCTTGTTGTTTCTTTTTTTTTTTCATTTGGAAAACTACCTGCTTTAGTACCCAAAATTTCACTATCAGGTTTTTACATTTTCTTTAGAGGGAAGTTTTGACATTTCAGTACGCTTGTTCCATCTTCCATCGGCATAGGCCCATTAATTTTGTTTGGAACGATGATATTTTGTGTTATCTGTAACAAAATCACTTTGCTACTCAAAGTTACCATAAATTAGTGAAACGGCCGAAGCCAAGCACGTTTAATGCATTATTGCTAAACATAGCACAATCTATAGGAAACAATTACTCTATGACGTAGAAAATATACAAAGATAAACAAACCAGAGGAAATTTGATCAACCCCTAGCTAGCTATATACAACGAAAAATTACATATAATTAACCTCACATATCATGCACAATTAGGCGATCCAATTATTGAGGTTAAAACTGCATAATAACCAATAAAATAAATTCACTTCTACAAAAAACATCATTACCGACCCATTACAACCGGTTGTGTGTGAACTCTATACTGAGTAATATTGCCGGTTCACCCTGGTTTTGCCCAAACCCATGTGATGTATTTACTCAGCATCAGTCAATACCTTTTGAATCTTTGCAACGATATTAATTTGGATTTTTCAGAGAGTTACTAAATTTCTGTTTGAGCAATAAACTACGTAGGCATCTACACCAGAGGTATGTACCCCAGTTTAGGTTGCATCCAAATAGAACAAAGAATACGATGTAGTTGGAATCAACATGTGCCAACCTGTGAAATGGTTGTCAACAAATTAAATGGACTATCCGTCGAACACTATCTTCCACTTCCAGACTCCTTGCCTTCATCTTCTTAGGACTGGATCTTCCTATAATGCACCGGAGTGTCATACTTTGTCCGGTGTTAAATTAGTTGGACTATCAACAATTTTTTACCTGCCTATACCAAAACAGTCTTGCTCATACGACACTTTCAAAAATTCATGCACGAAGTCATCAAGTGAAATCTTGTTCGGAATGTCTATTATGCCCATGACATCCCAAAATTCATAATGGATGTGTTGCACCACACCAAGAGCATTTTGGTAATCTACGTGACAGCAACTAGCAAAATGTTTATGTTTTCTCTGCCTTCCAAAAAAAAGGTTTCCTGATGCCAGCATCCCTAATGTATCTCCTACATTCCATATGCAACAGTAAAAGCTTGATGTAGTTGCCCGTAGTTAACAAGTTGATCAATGACTCGTGCCGATGGTATAATGGTGTTGATGGAAAACACGGCACCCTAGGAGTTTTCCTTCACTCCAGTGCAGGTCCAACGCTTGCCTCGAGTGTCAAGAGCGTGCCAGCTGGTTTGATCCTGAAACCAGCAAGAGAAACAGAAAATATAATTAGATGAATAGTAGCGGATCTGCTAATAGGCCCGATGACGTATCGTCAGGACCTAGCCGATATGGGTATACCTAATTGGTTGCGACTTTATAATAGTTAATCAGATTAAAACCCTAAATATGCCCTATCAACTGTAATACTGTTTCCTTGGTTTATATCAATTATTTTAAGACAATATTATGGAAGTAACCAATAGATCAGTATTTAAAGCAAAGATAGATAATGTGCTGGCTAATACTTCAATACAAATTTATGTAAACAAATCAATATATATAAATATACCAAATAGCAATTGATCACGAAATATGAAGTTTAAGTGAGATCAATCTCTATCTATATAAATGGAAAATATACATAAACAGATCAGGAAATATGCGCTATCAAGTATATTAGGTAAGATCGGATGAAACCCCGATACTATCCTTAGTTATGATTAATTCCTAGTTAGTTTCTATGATTCTAAGCACGGTTAGGTATGATGCATCACAAAGTATGCAAAGAAGCATAAAGTCTAGACAATCAAGTCATTAACCGCTTTTCAGGATGGTAGATAACTTAGTTAATATAATTTAGTAAGATGATTTAGTCGATGCCAGCGTAAACCCTAAAGTGAGAAACAGTCGATATGACTAAATCGAGATACTAAGTCAGGATTATTTAAGATATATGATAATAATGACTATGATAATAGGACTAATACATCTAAAGCGACATAATAGCCTCGATAGCGCAAGCCATCAAGACAAGTTACCTCTTGTTGAGAGATCGCGAGATCGCAACCGATGCTCCGACTTGAAACAAGAACTCGTCGAAAAGTAAAAAAGAGAAAGGTGGCGATGCGCTGAAAGTTGTATTGATTCGATCCGTCTATTACAATTGTATGGGGCTTATATTGATACCCTGAGTACAAAACTTGTCCATTACGGACACGACTCAAGCTTTCCTAAAGATAAAATACGAACAAGTCCACATGGCAAACTCTTATCATATCTCTAATTTAAACCGACATAAATATCCTAATTAATAGATACAATTGCCTTAGGCGAGCTCAATCTCTATACGGCAATATCAGTTATTCCAATCTAAACCCAAACCGAGCCCAAGTCAAGCTGTATTGGCTACCTGCCATATCGGCTCAATCCGTTTCCAACTATGTTTCCAGCCGATGCGCATTTCGAATTTGGTAAGATTCAATCTCCTTTGATTCCGCATCGATATCCAACTCCAAATCCATGTGAATCTTGTTAAATTTCGCTTTTAACAAATGGTAATGGTATCAATTGAGCCACTGGTCAGGTGGCCCAACTGAACTCTATGTGTCAGCTGTGAAGATGGTTCCGAATATTCAGATCATTTGTATGACATTCAAGACGGAAAGGACTCTACATCAGTTGATCGCACTACCTTTTTTTTTTTGCAATTTCCTTAATTTTGATCTGATTCTTCTTGTATTTTGCCTATTGAGGCCTCACGACTTTTCAAAAATAAGCAAACGAAGAGTTCCATTGAGATGCCAAATATAATGGTTAGAGCATCATCAGGAGTATCAGAGTGATCGTGGTCATATATGACCAAGTAGGCATCATAACTAGATCAGTCACATGTGATCAGACAAGGAAAATCATTTCAAGTAAGTAAGTTTTTTGATGGTGCAAGTGTACTTCCATAAATGCGCATCTTACACAAGATACCATAGTATGCATTAGTTCTCCTACCAGACACAACGATCAAACTAACATGAGCGATGAAGACAAAATGATTGTATCTCCTTTTGTGCAATGCAATATTGTCATATGATTGCAAATATCACTAGTTGTTAACTTCTTCAGGATGGTTTGAACTAGGGGCCTACCCCTAGTCAGTCTGCATGTTTAGTATAAGTCTAGTTGACCTAGGGGCCTACCCCTAGTCCACTGAACTTTTACTATTACGCCAGTCTACCATATGCATATAAGTTGGCTATATGTCTCTAGTTTTTCTTAAATTATCCTTCTTGCACCATATTTCGATAACTTGGTTAATTAAGCTAAAAGTGGGAGGCTAGTTCTTTTGCTGGGATCGGAATTAGTCGAGCACAAGTATGCGTTTTGAACACTTGAGATAGTTATGGGATAGCCCTTATAGATCGACTTATCTGTGGTATGTATACACCACCTTGTGTAGTTTGACCGGCGTATCTTGGGGAGGGACTGGTAAGCTATCCTATTGAGTATCTCTCCTACTCACTACTCGGCATCATTGTTATTATATGGGAAGGTGTCAACTGTGGTCATAGACAATGAGAGTGAGTATTACTTATGTGTGTATGGATCCCACTAATCCAAATACTCATAGTGCTTGTATATTATCTTTTTTTCTAATCATTGTAATGTTGGGAACACCCGTTTTTTGAGCTGCGATCATGATAAAATCATTTTTAGGGAAAAAATAACAATGCATTTAACCACATGTATGATTCAATTTGATTTAAATATTTCCACATGTGCAACTCACAGGTTGACGACTAATATGTCTAATCCAATACTTCACTTAATATATTGTCGCACTGTTTATTACATTTCACTTAAATCTATTGAACTATAATTGTTGGAGAACCAATATTGTCCTTGCATGCTGGTATGTCTACATCACTACATGGGTAGAAACTACTTCCGGCACCCACCCGGCTAGAGGCACTGAGAAATTAATCGAGTAAAAAACTTATCTTTGAAAATGTGGATAACTATGTAGCTAGCAGCGGCTGTAGCTTTTCAGTGCGGCAAAGATCGAGATTCATTTCATTATCTATAGTAATATAAAATTTGAAGATATTTTTGCTTTGGTATGTCATCTATATATAGAGTTGGTTTTTAAGTTCATTTTATTTTGAAAATATAGATCCGTATTTGAGTCGGGTTTTAAGCCCGTTCGCTTTTGGAAATACGGAAGGAGTCGTATAATATATTTCTTAAAAAAAACTCACATACTAACTTAAGATGATCGGACTCTTAATTGCAGCTCATGATTTTTTAGAAAAATATATATCCAAGTGAATTCCCACAGTGAATTTCACCTTAACTAAATCATATAACAATAAAATAACCTTCACCCGTTGTAAAGCATGGGTATTTTTTCTAGCCTAAAACTCTAGCAGTGACGAACATAGACTCCAATTGCATCGGTTATAAAGCCAGCGCGTACGAAAAAGCCAGTGATCCGATCACTGCCATCAACTGAGAAGCTAAAAGGGATCCCAGCTTTAGGGTTGCCGTATGGCCCATAAGTCCTTTTCAAGGTGGTGATCTTGAGTGATCGTAGGACGTTACTCATTCCACTGACCCACATGCCCGTTGTGCCAGAGATTTCCATCACAAAGTCCATAAGGCCGAGATGAATCTGCAGGTACAATTTACATGGATTACATAATTGGATAGTACATGTCTAATTAATTCATCTGGTTTCAAACCTCTATCCACTATAAATCATCGGATTTTGCCCATTGCCATGCATGAACATGTCACAAATTAAAGAAAAAAACGGTTTCATAACTTAAAAAATTCACAAGTTTTGACTAAAGGACTATCAATACTTATATATGCCGCTATATTTTTTTCATAAAACATTCAAATTAAAATTTTAACTTGTTTTCCAGAGTGTAAATTTCATATTTACAGGTTTTATGCTCAGTTCAATTTTTTCTATTCTTGACAATCTACCTATATATCTATCTATATATCTATCTATTATATATTGAAAGTTCATTAAACTTCTTACGTACGCTAGTAAGCTGCCACATATCATCCCTACGAACGCTTCTTTCCCGCCTCATAGCATATCTACAAACACTTATAAGCCACCACGTGGCGTTGTAATAAATCATATAAATTCTAAGAAAAATGTATTTAACCGTTGGTTTTTATTTATTGTGGTAGATCCATTGTTTATCCATTACATCTACCTAAAAAAACTACCAATTAAATTTATCTCTTAAAATCCCCACTTCTAGGTGCACATAAGTACATTACATAAGTACCCACACAGGCCCCACGTTCATCTCTTTAGTTTTGTTTTCTTTTGTAACATCCAAAAAGCAATACACCATTAAAAAGTTTGAATTCAGCTCAAAATTATATTTGGGATTTAAAATTAAAATTCAAAGCTCCTTTGGATTGTAGGAAGAAATAGTGTGCTTCCTATCGATTGCATATCTATACTATCCTTTGATTTGCATGAATATATTATAGTAATTCTGAAGGAAAAATTCATAACCAACCAATACCATGCCAAAAAAAACATAGGAAAGTTTAAGTCCATTAAACACCATACGAAGACTCTTAAACTACTACCTGATACTATAATAAATTGAGAAAATAATAGAAATTATGAGAAAAATATAAAATATTACACGTTTAGCCGTTTGGGAAGTGTGCTCACTATAAATAAGCGAGTAGCCAATCCAATAAGCTCTTTAGAACTCGGCCTTAAATTTATTACTTAGATACTAAAACGCTTAATATGTAGTATACAATATACTTGATCAATTCTAACTTAGGAGGTATATCCTCACTATCACTATCTACTTATCCCTAAATCATATTGCTTGCGAGGTATCCATGCATGGTGCATATAAAAAGTTGCAGCATATGTCTATGACAATAAAATTAATAAAATTGAAATAAGATGCATGCGCATGTTTTTTTCCCTTCGCATGGGATGGAGACAATCAAGCTGCTAATGCAAAGGTTGTCTGGTTAATTGCAGTTTATTTACGCAATGATAGATGATGATTTGATCTATGTGGGTTAACAAATTTTAAAATTCATGTTATTTCTGTCCTCGGTCCAAAATTTGTTTACTCTATTTTACTCATGCATTTCTAAACTATTTCTGACCTATATATTTTTTCAATCATGTAGTATAAAGGAACCTTCAAATTCTTTCATCGACAGACAAATTAAAGTCATAATACTCAAAATCCTAACCACAAAAAATATGATAGTTTAAATAAGATGCCAGCTCAACTGCGCGGGCTACCTTCCTAGCTTGTATCTAACATCAATATCAACATCGGTCCTTCAGAGCCCAGTGCAAAACTTAACCTCATTCGGAGATGTTTGTAGCTGTACTGGATCCTTCTAAACCTTGTTCGGATATGTTACTATAATAGTACTACTAATACAGTGTGCAACGCTTTGCTTGGGCTACCTAAGAGAATTATGGCACTTTCTATGCACCATTATATTGTCGCCTCATCCATAACATTACCTATAAAAAAATCATCCAACACAATTTCAAGCTAATCATTTTGTATGAATTTCGGCAGCAACACATGGAGTACCATCTAGTTATAACTTTATATATAAATATTGGAGATGCAAACCACAGCTACATAGACATAGAAAGAAAGAGATAGAGGAAGAGAGGAGTATCAGTGGTAGACTTTACCTCATGCGGAACACCACCATCGGAACCCCAATGACCCATGTGGTACACGAGACCATCGTTGCCGATGTAGGTGAAGGAGATCCCGTCGACGGTGTCTCCGCTGCGGATTGTTAGGCGAACGAGCCGATAAGGAGCCACCTGAACGTCTCTATAATCTCCGCCTGGTCCTCCCCATGGACCAAACTTGGTAACTATCATGCTCTAAATCATCCACAGACAGATCGGTATGTTGTTACAGTTTTGAATGTGGAAAATGTTGATAAAATCTTTAGAGGGAGGAAGAGGATAACACACCATTTTGACTGATGTAGCTAACTTCTTCTTAAGTTCGCAAATGTATAGCTTGCTGCACTAGAGTAACCAGGAAGATTAGAAACAGTTCATATTTGTACTAGCTAAGATGTGTATACTTGGGTTTTGAGCATCCCACACTATAGATAGATAGACGGATATATAGGTCCAAAGAGAGAATTCTTTGTATGGCCTTAATTTTTTTGTCAATCTCTTTTATACCCCTGTTTATTCTCACTTTCTTTGCATACTATTGAATTTGTGTTGATTCTTTTCATACCCATTCTATCAGTTTATCATTAGCTGACCAATTAATAGCTCTGAAAAGTCCAATTTACCCTTCGAGCATGACAGGAATGTAAGAATATTTGGAGTACATGAGTTTGTTCTATGAGTTCATATTAATCATAAGGTTTACAGTATGAGGCCATATTGTTAGTAAACAAGTTTATTTTTACATAATGCAAGATAAAATTTAATACACACTAAAGAGATTATATTGTATTTTTTTGATGCTATATACGACAAATTTTGTGATGTTGTATGCAGTATCTGAGAATTGCTATACTGGTCTCACCTTTGTACATCGAATCTAAAATAATGTTATGCATGTCTTTTTGAATATATTTTAAATTTTGGCCTCATATATATAGAACGAAGTTAATATTATAGGTAAATATAAGATGACATTACTCTATAAATTTTAAATTTTCGTCCATGTTCAAGGATAAAACTAATATAAATTTCGCAGGGTTGTTAAACGACTCACCAAGGAAGAAGTATAAGTGGATCAAAACCAAACTTAGGCGTACAAGTCAGTAAGTAGAATGGAAAGGTTCATCTCAGATTTTAAGGCACTACTACAGAAATCCTAATAGGGGACAACGTTATATGCGTTGGATTAGGAAAAACCGGTAATGATAAGTGGTTCGTGCCCACCCAACCCCGCCACATCCTGAGAGAGAAAAAACTGGCACTGATAACTCCTCGTCTGTGCAGGTTCTTTAATAAAAATGAACCATATATATTTCCCATACTTTTTTTATTAGCTGGTGCATTTAAAATGACATTGGTGCCAGTTTTTATTAAACCGACACATATCGAGCAGATAGCAATGCCGAGTGCGGGGGAGAAAAAAAAACAGCTGCTTCCTTATCCTTTCCCTCACATTCTCATTTTCTCCCCTCGTCCTTATCCTTTCCCCCTTCACTCTATCTCCTGTCTCCCTCTCACATCTACCCACCCGAACCACCACTACTTCTGCAGCCCCTTCTGTATGCTGATGTGTCATCATGGCCAGCTCCGCCTCAACGTACTCAATGGCAGCCTCCTTCTCCTCCACGACAGTGACAGTATTGGCATCAGTAAATATACTTTGCAATAGTCCCTTCTTATACTAGTCCCACCTTTGTGCATGTTGAGTATAAAATACTTAAAATTCTAAACCATAGAGTGTATATAAAATTGGTTGTTGATTAAGGTTGATAGTTTACATATTGGCTACATTGAAAAATAATGCTTCAAATATGCTGTGATTAATCAATGTTTTAATAAAGGTAAAGTTTTATGAAACATATAGTCCATAAAACTTGTGGTTATGTGGCACATGTCATAATACCTGTGATTTTCTATAACTTTGACCATAAAAACATGGCTTTTCTGAAATTTACTCTAAAAATAATAATGGACCAGTGCAACATGCTATTTCTGTACGAGTGCCACCACTCTGCCTGGAATTAATGTAAAGATGATATTTCTATACTTTCGATTTTGCAAATTCTGATAGTCCAATATCTCTTTTTTAACCGATGTAGAAAGGTGTGTGCTTCCTCACCAGTATTTGAAGAATATGCCAAGTATAACATTCTCCCAGAATATTGCATCCAGTTCGTGATTGCACAGCAAAGGGAATAAATTCAACACGCACTACCAACAATAATGCACTGAGCCTTTTCTTGCTGGAACAAATTCTGTTAATTAATAAAGACTAAAGTGGAGAATATTACATTTTTCATACCATCATGTTATGTGCGTGGATGAATTGAGGTGCTTGATGGGAGCTCGCCTCCCGTAGCTTGGTTGAGGACGAAGAGATAAAGGGGAGACTAGAGATAGGTTTAACAAAAAAAAACATCATCTGGAGTTCATTGCTATTGCGGCAACTATTAGGAGTGAATTTACGACAAATGCCCTTAAAAATCTTTGTGCTGGTAAAGATTTTTTTGGCACTGAAACCTCCTAAGGGTAGATTTGGTGGTATGTTGTGGGGTGTCGATTTACAGTGTGTGTGGATTTGGCTTGATTGAAGAGGGTGATTTTTATATTAAATTTCATTTGTGTAATAAGAGTGATAAGTTTAAATGGGCCTGCACAGAATGAATTTAAACAACAATTCCTTGCTGAGTTAGTCCATTTGTGTAGTCATGAGAATTTACTGATTCTAATAGGCGGCGATTTAATATTTTTTGAAGTCCTGAAGAAAAGAATAATTCTAACTTTAATGATAGATAGATAGCCGTTCCTTTTTAATACTGTAATTGATGGTCCAAATTTACGGGAATTACAAATGTCGGGCAAGAATTATACATGGGCAAACATTCTTACTGTTCCTACCTTTGAAAAGCTAGATAGAATTCTAATTTCTACTGAATGGGAGGAAATAAACTCTTTATCTTCGGTTTTAGCTTTATCTTGAGATATTTCTGGTCATACTCCATTATTGTTAAACTCTAACTCAGCTTTCTCAAGTTTCCTTCCAAGTTTCAAATTCGAACTTGGTTGGTAATTGCGAGATGACTTTTTTTTGACATGGTTAAGGAGGTATGCGCAAGTGTTCAGGTTGGGAATACTCCAACGAAAGGTGACAAGCGAAATTACGTAGGCTAAGATAAGACAGCATTTGAGAGGATGGGCCAAAAATATTTGTGGTTCATTTAGGAAACAGAAAAAAGAGTTGTTGGACAGGTTATATAGTCAGGACAAAAAGGCAGAGGCATGCTTCTGAATAATAGATTAGCTATGCTTCTAAGATATGAGGAGATTAAGTGGTACCAACGTGCTAAAGTAAGGGACCTGTTGGAAGGTGATTCCAATACCAAATACTTTCAGTTGCTGGCTAATGGTAAGCAAAGAAAAACAAGAATATACCAATTGCTAGATGGTGATCATATAATAAGTGGGTATGCTGAATTAAAAAAGCATATTACAACTTATTATAAAGGTCTTTTTGGGCCATCTGAAAAAACACAATTCTCTCTTGATGAGAACAGGATGGAGGATATTCCGCAAGTGGCACGAATTGAGAATGAGGCTTTAAAAGCAAACTATTCTGAAAAATAAGTTAGAGAGGCAATTTTTCAAATGGAACACAACAAAGCTTCGGTCCTTGTAGATTTCCAACTGAGTTTTACCAAGTTTTTTGGAATGTTATAAAAGATGATTCTCTAGACTTGTTAACGCAATAATTTCATAATGTTTCATTGCACTTGTATTCGCTTAACTTTGGTACGATTATCTTGTAACCCAAGTCTAACGATGCTACTAAAATACAACAATATAGGCCAATATGCTAATTAAATATAAGTTTTAAGATATTTACTAAGGTGGTCACAAATAGAATTATGGGAATGGCACAAAATGTTATAAGCCCAACTCAGATGGCTTTTATTCATGGTAGGAATATCATGGACGGGTAGTTATTTAACATGAGACGATTCATGAGTTGCATAGGAAAAAACAAAATGGGATTATTTTTATGATTGAGTTTGAGAAAGCGTGTGATAAAATTTATTGGTCTTTTGTGCAACAAACTATTAGAATGAAAGGCTTTTCCACTAAATGGTGTGAATGGATTGATTCCTTCATCCAATGGGTAATGTTGGTATAGAAGTTAACGACCAGATTGGACCAAATTTTAAACCTTGGAAGGGTTTAAGGCAAGGTGATCCTCTCTCTCCAATCTTGTTTAACATAGTTGTTGATATGTTGGCTGTACTTATTCAGATGGCCAAATGGTTGGTTCCATATGTCGTTGATGAGGGTTTGTCTATCTTGTAGTATGCGGATGACACATTGAGAAAATTTAGAAAATTCTAAGAAAATGAAGTTACTTCTTTTTGTGTCCGAAAAGCTTTGTGGTCTTAAAATAAATTTTCATAAGAGTGAATTCTTTTGCTTTGGTGAAGCAAAAGAATGTTAAGAACAATATTCTCAAATTTTTGGGTGCCGCATGGGTCTTACCCTATTAAATATCTTGGCATTCCTATGCATTCTAGAAAGTTAAATAACAAGTATTGGAAAATGAAAGAGGAGAGAATTGAAAAGAAGTTGAGCAGTTGGAACACAGATACATTGTCCATGTCCATGAGCCATTGATGAAAGATATGAAAGATTTATGGTAGGATGGGATGAATGTGTGGGATAAGTATTTAAGACAATACTTTACAATGAAAGCCATCATTTTCGTTACTGTTGACGGTCCTTAAGTGCAAACTTTAACCGTTAGCTATTGCATAAAAGATGCCAAATATACTATCAAAATTAGTGGTATAAGTTTATTATACTAACCGTCAGTGTTATAGATCGGGCATACCCAATAGTCTTGGATTGGTATCGACGTAGCCCACCATATACCAAGTTTTATGCAGAATCATGCCTGATATACGGAAGGTGTTTTGGATAAGGAAAGAAAAATAGAACTACTCGGATCGTATCCATACTTGTCTCCCTAGTTTTCCTTCGACAGGGGGACATTCGAGGGTATAAATACAAGACCCCTTGGAGGAGAGGAAACAAGCCAACAGACAACAACAAAAGCCTAGACATACTCAATCGGGGGCCAGCCACAATGACCGACAAGAGAGATCTAGCGCTACCTTCAGTCTCATCGAGTTCATATTCGAGGACGAAGACTACGCTAGCCATCGGCTACGTGTGAGAACTCCTTTCTGCCAAACTAACCGAGACTATATTAGGTTATCCCAAATATTGTACTAATGTGATACTGATATATAATGGCTACACCGGCTTCAGCCAACAAGACTAGGGCTATTACCGGTTAGTTAAGGGGTCCGAACATGTATAAAAATATGTCTCCTATATTTTTTACCTCAATCTCGGGTATGGCTTGGCCCAAATGATCCCCATACTCTGCAAATGTCATCGTCAGGATATCCAACCTCAAAA